CCCGGGGAGGAAGTTCGAGGAGGGGCTGGTTAACAGCACAAGGAGGTTGCGGAATGAGAAGGTCCCTGGACAGCTGTGGAAGGAAGTTTAACTGAGTGGTGTTTGGGCCATTTTGTGAGGTACAAGTGGAAGCAGCACTGCCTGGGACTTTTTTTTTTTTTTCTTTTTTTGGTTAGCATTTATTGGTATTTGCTTTTGAAGCATATATTTAAACAGACAGTGTACTCAAGTTGTACATATAGTCTTGATTCCAATTAATATTAGACAACCTATTGATTTACTCTGAGTTACGAGATCATAACTGATTTTTGTTTTATTTTCCATATCTGTCATTAGTTCCCAGCATTTCTATGAGTATTTATTATTTTTAGAGCTGGATAAAACACTATATACATTATTATTCTTACATTATTTTAAGAGATGAGATCTTGCTCTGTCACACAAGCTGGAGTGCAGTGGTGTGACAGTCATAGCTCCCCGCAGCCTCAAACTCCTGGGCTCAAGCAATCTTTTTGCCTCAACCTGTAAAGTAGCTAGGACTACAGGTGCATGCTCCCATGACTTGCTAATGTATTTATTTATATATTTTTAGAGATGAAGGGTCTCACTGTGTTGCCTATGCTGCTCTTCATCTCCTGGCTTCATATGATCCTCCCACTTCACCCTTCTGAGTTGCTGGAATTACAGGCATGAGTGATCACACCTGGCACAAATAATTTGTTAAAGGGCATGCTCCTGGACGGGCATGGTGGCTCACACCTATAATCCCAGAACTCTGGGAGGCTGAGGCAGGTGGATTGCCTGAGCACGAGTGAGTCCCCATCTCTAAAAATAGCCAGGCATTGTGGTGGGACCTGTAGTTCCAGCTCCCCTGGAGGGAGAGGCAAGAGAATCCCTTGAGCCCAAGAGCTTGAGGTTGCTATGAGCTATGACACCATGGCACTCTTACTGAGGGCAACAAAGTGACACAGAGTCTCACAAAAACAAACAAAAAAAAAGACAGGCTCCTTATTTTTGCAATGCAATGATCTTCTCGGTTATTGAAATATGGATACAATGTAGCCATTTGATGTTCCTTCCCAGCCTATGAAAATGAAATTCCATTTGTGTTTCTAATTGTCTATTCCATCTGTGCTTTTTATGAGGTCCTCACTGGCACCCTTTCCTAAGGCGCTCCATTGACATACTTACATTGTCTTTATGACAAAACACTGTAAAAAATCATAGTAACGTCTTGTAGCCTCATGGTCTAGAAAGGGCATTTTACCTGGGCCAGATCTACTTGTTGTGGGTCTTTCACATTATGTAACTCTTAGAAAATTCTTCGTTAAAACCGCAACCAAAGTGAAGTAAGTCCACGTGAAAGTCATGAGTGCTGACCATCCTTGTAATCATCTTGGGTTCTCTCTCTCTCTCTCTCTCTCTTTTTTTGTTTTGGAAACAGAGGCTCACTTTGTTGCCCTCAGTAGAGTGCTGTGGCATCACAGCTCATGGCAACCTCAAACTCTTGGGCTTATGCAATCCTCTTGCCTTAGCTTCCCAAGTAGTAGGGCCTACAGGCACCTGCCATAATGCCTGGCTACCTTTTTTTAGAGATGGACTTTCACTCTTGCTCAGGCTGGTCTTGAACTCCTGAGCTCAAGCAATCCACCCACCTCAGCCTCCCAGAGTGGTAAGATTACAGGCATGAGCCGCTGCATTGAGCCTTGGTTCTCATTTTTGAAAATGAATTGAATGAAGCAAGTTATCCTAGGTGTTTTTGGCATTGCATTTTTCTTCTCAGTCCAGTGGTTCTAAAACTACATGACTTCACACACCTTCAGTGCTCATTAAATTCTGATTACAAGTCATTCAGTCAAGAGGGAGGAAGTCAGCACTTTTACCATCCAGCTCAGGAGAACATGGCATCTCTGTGTGGGTCAGGCTAAAGTTATTATTCACATCTGCTTCTAGCTCTAAGTGGGAGGACTGCTGTAGTCATCCTGCTAATTAGCCTTGTCTAATAAGCATGTGATCAGCAGATTTCCTGGTTAGGAAATAACAATACACTGATTCTCCCTCCCTTATGTATTTGTTGCATGCATGAGATTCTTTGCTTCGAGCTCTTTTATAATATTACCACACTGGCAAATGGACCTCAATTTTCTCAATCTTTTAAATAGGGAAAATATCCCTTTTTACAGTACATTGTATGTAAGATAAGATATCTATAAGTCACTGAGTTTGGATGAAAAGTAGTATAGTATAGACAGCTGGTTGCTGACTTGGCCTTTGTTGGACTGATGGATCTCTCCAGGGCGAGATGAGGAGCACGTGGTTGTCAAATGGGTGAGGTCCAGTAGAGTGCTCCATAATTATATAGCAGTTTACATTTTTAAAGACATGTTGGAACAGCTACCCAGTGAATGACCCACATGCAAAGCAATTTGATATTAGCAACTTTTATTGGTAGAGGTAGCTGAGTAAGGCACCCAGAGGTTAAATGGTTTGCCAAAGGCCACCCACCAAGTGTGTGGTTAAGCCAGCTTTAGAACACAGTTCTAATTAGCTCCTAATTTCTACTTTTGTGCCGAGGCAAACCACCTTGCACCCACACGCTGATCTTACTCAGTTCGCTTTGTTAGAGGAAGGTACCCTTCATATTTTGTCCTGTCTGAATATATTATTATTAATATTTAATTAGTTAATTTCAAAACCAATAGAGGCAAGCTAGTAAGAGGTACTCAGTTATAAAAACCAAATTTGACATTAGATCCTTGTACTGATCCTTTGACTTGAGGGCTATAGAGCCCAGGGAAAAGATGAAATTCCTGAAAGAATAAGGCTGGAAAATAGAGCCTAAAAAGAGGAAGACATAGAGATTTTATAGGAGGGTAAGAAGGGAAGGCATTGTGCCTGCTGTCAAGTAGCTCAGGGCATAGTGCAGGCTCTGGAGAGGCTGGCCGGTCCTCTCAGTGCGAGGTGGCAAACCCAGGGTTCTGTGAGAGCCTGAGCACCTAGGGAAGGCTCTGCACCTTGGACAGAAGCAGGGAGGAGTAAACCACAAGGTGGCCGCTGGTCAAGGTCTAGATTGGAGAGGCGGATAGGTCACGAAGGGGCATGAATGTCATGCTGAGAGGTAACAGTATGTTCATTCACCATGTGTCTGTTCAGTGCCTTTGTGTGTGTGTGTACACGTGTGTCCCTGCGTGTGTGCCAGGTACTTATGCCATGTACTTGGGATACATTAGTGAACACACAAACACAAATTCCTGGACTCATAGAGCTTATTCATATTTTAGCAGAGGGAGAGAAACACTATAGGTTAAATGAGTCAATTTAGGCCAGGTGTGGTGGTCCACACCTGTAATCTGAGCACTCTTGGAGGCTGAGGCAGGTGGATTGCTTGAGCGCAGGAGTTCAAGACCTCCTTGAGCAGAGCGAGACCCCATCTCTACAAAAAATAGAAAAACTAGCTGGGCCTTGTGGCAGGAGCTTATAGTCACTTTGTAGAAGGTTCTACAGAGTTTTTGTGAACTGCAAATCACCTTGATATATCTAAGATACAGGAGTGTATATACTAGTTTAATTTACATACATTAAGCGGTGTAGATTAGGGCTATTTTTTGTTTTTGAGACAGGGTCTTATTCAGTTGCCCAGGCTGGAGTGCAGTGGCATGATCATAGCTCACTACAACCTCCAGCTTTCTGGGCTCAAGCAATCCTCTTGCCTTAGCCTCCCAAGTAGCCAGTACTACAGACGTGTATTGCCACATGTGGCTAATTTTTTTTTTTGATTTTTTATAGAGATGGGTGTCACTGTGTTGTCCAGGCTAACCTTGATCTCCTGCCCTCAAGCAGTCTTCCCTCCTTGCCTCCTCACGTGCTGGGATCACAGGCATGAGCCACAACCCCTGGCTATGTTCTGTTAATTTAAATGTGATTGTTTAATGTCCTAAGTGCTAAAAATGAATTTAATTAACTATAAATACTGTAAAGTTTTTTTTTTTTTAAAAGCACATCTTACTACCTTTAAGGTAATATATAATGGTATTGCTAATTACCTAGTTTTACTTGTAAGCAGTTAAGAAAGAAAAAAAAGCCCTTGCCTAATTGTTTTGTTTATTTGTTTTTTGGTAAATAGACAAATGTATATGTGACTTTCAGGTGCTTGAAATGTGAAGAAATTTGGCTTTACTAAATTTAAATAGCCACATCTGGCTGGTGTCCACTGTATTAGACAGAACTGCTGTCAAGGTCCATTGGAATTTGGCTTGACCTTAGAGAATGTGGGTTATACTCATACAGGATTTTTTCTGCCCAGGCAGAGCTAGAAGATTTGGGTCTTGAAGTGTGGAGCGAGAGGAGGAGAAACTTAAGCCTGTGACTTTACCTTAAGTTCACCTGCAACACCCCAAAGGCTGGACCTGTACTCGAAGGTCAATCCTGGAAGTCTCAAGGAGTTTGAAGCCCAAAACCTTCTTCCAAGAACACTGGAAGAATTCTAAAGGCCAGAGTCACCATTAGTCATTATATAATTGAAACCTAGGAACACAAGCACAGTAGCATTTGGGTGCAATAAAAGGGCAGAACCCCCTGTACTTTAAGCCCAACAAATCATCAATGCTTTCAAGTCTATAAAAGAACCCCAGTGTCATGGCTTTCAGACTGATTACAGGACAGTGGCAGAATCCCTTGTCTCTTTTGCTTACTATTTTAGGTCAACATATCAGAGATTTTCCAGGGCAATTTCTTCCCAACTGTTCTCAAAGGATTCTCTGTGTGAGTAAAAGCTATTGACCTTAATTCCTTTTACCAAGCGCTCCACCCTGCTCTGGGTAAGTCCTTCTAGAAAGCAGGTGGTCAAGTATATTCTTGACAATGGATCTTCTCTGTAGATGTTGTTACCTTGTACATGACTGCCATAGAAGAGGTGTAAAGATAGGAAGGTAATTTGGGCAAATTTGTGTCCTCCAGGCTACAAAGAATGTGCCAATGTCATTCTGTTTATTTTCTTCCAGGACATCTAGGATTGGTGTGGCATGGCTTCACAGAGATCTCACTGAAGAATAATCTGAAAGGAACACTGTCTCCCCATATCTCCATTACTGTCCATTAGCAGCTAGCAAATGTTTTTAATGAGCCGGAAAACATCAACCACCCTCGTGTGCTTGGCCTGCTCCGGGCAGCTGAATGAAGGTTTCTTCCCGTGGTCTGCATAGCTCTGTTGCCGAAACACCTCTCTTTGTTGGGCAAATGTTCGTGAAGTCCTTTCCTAAACTGGTTTAGGAGGCGCAAGCCTCTGGGAGCCTGTGACATGGAAGCTTTGGAAGTGGATGATATCAGCCCAGCCTTAGAAGTCACTGAGGATTTCTTTAGTACTTTGGACAGTAAGCTAGAAAAGGCTGTGCAGCATGCAGAGGTTTATGGGATCCAGGAGGTCCCTGAACTGGTGGGGCGTGAGGTATTCAGCAACCTAACAGACAATGGTGCTATGAGAAACGTTCCCTCCCTGGGCAAGGGGGGCATGATCTGGGACCACTGTCAGAGCAGGCTTTTAGAAACCAAAGCTCAAAATGTCTTCCCTGCCAAAGAACAGTTTGTGGTCCAGAGAGGGACAACCCCAGATAACCTTTCCTGGATGGAACAAAAAGAAGCATCGACCTTTAATTTTTTCAATATCTGTCAGCGTCGGAGGGACAGACCTAGATCTGTAAATGACCTATTGGACGAGACCTCTACCTTCAAGCCAGGGCATGCTCGATCAAGATCAGATGTTACCCACGCGGACTGGAGGGTAGTCCTCAACACCATGCCTTTGCGGCCGCCGCAGCAGCAGCAGCAACCGTCTCTTCAAGGGCCTCACTTCCCCAGGCCGTCTTTTCTGTTGCCCTCACCAAATAAGGTGGAAGATGCTCAAGGAAATACTGGTATGTTCTGAAATTTTTGAAGTTTATTTATTTCCTTTTTTAATTTTTGGTGCCATGATTTGGGTCCAATGGTATGTTTTTATATCTAACTCCCATCAAACAGTTGTTGATTTTTCCTTTATGTGTCTTACACCTGCCTGGCGAGAATCTTACTCCACAGTACCCATGTCTGGCTCTGGGTACTTGAGCTCCCTCCTCCATTCACTTTCCACTTACCTTACTTCAAGTTAACAGTCTGGCTATCTTCTTAAGAGGCATTTAGTGAAAAGATAACTATGGTTCATTCTTGTTAGAATCAGAATGTTCTCATACTTTATTTTTCCTTTAAGAGGCAGGGTCTTGGCTCAGCACCTGTGGCTCAAGTGGCTAAGGTGCCAGCCACATACACCTAAGGTGGCAGGTTCGAATCCAGCCTGGGCCCACCAAAACAACAATGACGGCTGCAACCAAAAAATAGCCTGGTGTTGTAGAGGGTGCCTGTGGTCCCTTACTTGGGAGGCAGAGGCAGGAGACTCACTTGAGCCCAGGAGTTGGAGGTTGCTATGAGCTGTGATACCATGGCACTCTACCCCGGGGGATAGCTTGAGGCTCTGCCCCCCCCCCCAAAAGAGGCAGGGTCTTAAAAGCTAGGCTGGAGTTCACTGGTATAGTCATAACTCACTGTAACCTCCAACTCCAGGCTCAAGGGATCTTCCTGCCTCCGTCCTAAGCCTTCAAGTAGCTTGGACCACAACAATAGGCTAATATTTTAATTTTGTTGTAGAGCTGGGATCTTGCTATGTTGCCCAGGCTGATCTTGAACTCCTCCTACCTCAGCCTCCTAAAGTGCTGGGATCACAGAAATGAGCCACTGTGCCTGACCAGAATATTCTCTAACTTAATGTAGTATTCTCCTTTGAATATTGTATGATACTGCTTGTTCATATCAGCAGATGTTTATTGGGTCACATGTCAGGCTTAGCCTTGTGGTGTTTAAAAGCGTGCGAAGACACAATGCCTACCCGAAATGCCTTCTCATCTAGCTGAGTGGATCTGACACTAAGAAAGACTCAAGAAGAGACCCAAGAATGAGAGACAGTGCAGGGTCTGTGAGAGGACGGAGGGAGAAGACACTGTGGGCTGGGCTTGTCAGGGGCACGTGGAACTTGTCCCTGGAAGGACCCTAAGATGCAGGAGGAGAGTCATGGGCGAGGCCTCTTGGTTACCATTATGGTTACATCATTATTATGACGTGAAGAAGGGTGAACAGGTGGGAGTACAGAGGAGAACAGGCAAGGTCTTGGGAGTAGAGCAAAGAATCCCATGGCAAGTGATGGGAGGACAAGATCGGAGAGGGTGGTTAGACCCTCATCATGGAGGGTCCTGAATTTTTTTCCTCATACTTGATACATATACTTTATATACGTACGTGTGCACATGAGTACAAAACTGGCTTTTCTATGAGACATAACAAATTAGCTCTCTACTTTCCTCAGCATTTTCCTTCAAGATAACCTCACGTATACAGGCTATAATTTTTTTTTGGAGACAGTCTTACCCTGTCACCTTTGGAGAAGTGCCATGGTATCATAGTTCACAGCAATCTCCAACTCTTGCCTCAGCGTCCCAAGTAGCTGGGACTACAGGTACCAGCCACAACACCTGGCTATTTTTTGTTGCCGTTGTCATTGTTTAGTTGGCCTGGGTCGGGTTTGAACCTGCCAACCTTGGTGTATGTGGCTGGCACTGTAACCACGTTTCTATGGGTGCTGAGCCAGGCTATAAATTTCTGTTATTCATGATTCTTCAATCACCCTGCTCAACTCTTAATTTAGATGACTTCTACTCATTTAACTGGGGAACCATTTGTTGTACTTTTATTTTAGTATTACTTCAGTCTGTGTCATTTCTTGGCATTCCATTGACACATTTAACATTGTAAATACAGAATTTAGTTTGTAACTGTAACCTGAGGGAAGGATATAGCTAAGCATGTCTATTGAGAAAATGTAGAGTTCCTGCCTATGAGGGGCCTCATTATTTTCACACTTGGTTCAAATTCATCCTTTTAAAATCCACTTTTTTCTACTACTCAGATTCTGAATTTATAATGTCTTATTTTCTCTCCTAGACTGTCACCATCTTCTGTAACATTTAGCTGAGAGTGACCATGAGAGTAAAAAGAAAAAAACATTATAAAGCAAAATTTGATAACTGATTAGATGTTGAAGGACAAACTGCTGTGACTCCAGGGCCGGGCAGAATGATAGGTCTGCCTTAGCTCATGAATAAACAAGTACACTCTCTGATTAGCAAAAACCTCAGCAGTTCTTTGGTATCTTAGAACTCTGTAGGTTTTTATTCCTAAACCACCTAGCCATTCTAAATTCCTGGCAGACCCCAAATGAAGAGGATGTCATATTTCCAATTTTCTTTTTCCTGTCTTGTTTAGATTACAAATGCCATGGACTAGACCTTCCTTAGGTTTTCTAAGGCTCTGGACTTCTCCATTGAGTGTCTGACAGATGAATATTATTTATTAATTCTCAATGCTTAAAAAAGTTTAATATTAAATTGTGTTGAAATATAAGAACTGAGTGGTACTTTGAAAAGTAAACTATAACAAATGACATTCTCAGGTATCGGTATCATTTATCCTGGCTACCTTTTGATCATCTGTGAGATACACATCCTAGCAGGGGTTAGGGTAATGGCATGCCAAGGGCAAATGGCATGCCAAGTTCTGACACTTTTCTTTCTGGCATGGTCTTCAGAATAGGCAAGATAAATTGTGGGTTTTTTTTTTTTTTTTTAAATTACTCACAAGGTAAAGGGGCAGGGCAAACAGTGGGCACCCATTCTCAGGCTGGAGAATGAGTTCTGGGTGCATGGCTGATCACCTACTCTGATGACCGTAATTCTCACAAGCATTTGAGGAGGGGTGTGCCAACAGCAGGTGCATACTGGTCAATATCAACCAAGGGCTTTAACTATAGTTTACTGTAAAACCTTTGCAATTAATAATCCAAACTGAAGAAAGCCTTGTCGTTTCTTCTGAAAAATGGGCCCCAAACAGAGGGAGGCAATGTAGTATCTTGGCTGGAGCTGGAGAAGAGGTCCCAGGAGATTTGGGGAAAGGCCAAATTGTTGCAGACTCACATGTCTGACTGACTGGTAATCATCTCTGTTGGAAGGTTCCATAGGGACTTCAAATTTAAAGTGTCCCAGAATGACCTATGATCTTCTTATCTCCTATTCCTGCTGTTCTAATAGTTAACAAGGGACTCGGCGCCTGTAGCTTAACGGCTAAGGTGCCAGCCACATACACTAGAGCTGGTGCATTCGAACCCAGCCTGGGCCTGCCAAACAACAACAACTACAACCAAAAAGTAGCCAGGTGTTGTGGCACATGCCTATAGTCCCAGCTTCTTAGGAGGCTGAGACAAGAGAATTGCTTAAGCCTAAGAGTTTGAGGTTGCTGTAAGCTGTGACGCCACGGCACTTTACTGAGGGTGACATGGTAAGACTCTATCTCAAAAAAAAAAGTTAACAAGGGTTAATGAGAGGCTGTGGGTTTCTTTTGATAAGATCAGCATGGTGATGTGTCTAGACCTGCTGTTCTCTTACTTATGGGCTTTATTACTTATTGGTCTTATATTTTCTTCAGTTGCTGTTCATTTTCCTGATTCCTCTTCTGAGCTCCTCTTGAATAGCTTTAAGATTTATCGGGAACAGTTCTTCTTGTACATGTCTGCTCCTTCCTCCTACCCTCATCATCCCCTCTTCGTCCTCTCATCACAAGTCCAAGGGTCTTTTTCATCAGGTAGGCTCTCTGCATCTTCTGCCTCAGTCGGCAATGAATAACTGCACTCTTGAGCCTTCTTGAGGATAAATGCTGCTTTGGGTACAAAGCAAACTGGTCCTGTTATAATGAGGGCAATGGATTGTGAGGGCCTAGCAGCTATTTTGCTAAGAAGTGAGACTGTCTGAAGAAGGCCTCTGATCAAACAGGTAGCATGTTGGCTGTAAACACTGACTCTAGACCTTCACTGCTAACATTTCAATCCTTGCAGGAGTGTTTATCGGATATACAATATAGGGCAGATTTCTTACTCTGTTTCCATGTATTTATTTATTTATTTGGCCATAAAGTGTGAGGAAATAGTAGTATTGACCTCAATTTATTGTGAGTGTTAAATGAGTTAAAACATCTAAAGTGCTTCTCATGGCTCGGTGCCTGTGGCTCAAGTGGCTAAGGTGCCAGCCACATACACCTAAGGTGGCGGGTTCAAATTCAGCCCGGGCCCACCAAAACAAAGTTAGGGTACAGATGGCTGCAAAAAATAGCCGGGCACTGTGGTGGGCACCTCTGGTCCCAGCTACTTGGGAAGGCTGAGGCAGGAGACTCACTTGAGCCCAGGAGTTGGAGGTTGCTGTGAGCTGTGATGCCACTGGGTACTCTACCCAGGGGGACAGCTTGAGGTTCTGTCTCAAAAAAAAAAAGTGCTTCTCAGAATCTTGGTTGGTATATAGTAACCACTTAATAAGTTTTAAACATTTAATGATGCTGTTATATTACTAGTTGAATTTGGAACTCATCAATGAGAATCAAGGTATCAGATCTTGGCTGATATTGATCAAAACACTAATCCTAGTTTTTTTCATAAAATAGAAATTTTATGAATTTCTTTATTATGGGTTAATATGAGGGTATGTGTGATTAGTTATATTATTTGCATTTCTAACGCCCAAAGTTTGAGTTGTGGTTGAGTCCCTCACACAGGAAGGGTGCCTCATACCCTGCACTGCACCCGAGAGATGGGAACTAAACAAGCCTCCTCCCCTCTTCTTGAATTTAATTGTGTATTTCTCCCGTGTGGGCCTGTAGTCATTGGTCTACTATTTTCGGATTACTACTGAGTACACGGGATGCTTGTATTTCTTAAATTTAATTGGCCTTCCTGCAGTTAATATCTTTCTCATAGTTGTTAACTTGTTTGTTAAGGAGAAATAGGCCATTC